CGTAAAAGGCAATCATTCAAAAAGCAGACAAGGAGAAGAAGGCATTCATTAACGAAATGGAAAAGCAAATTGTTATACATAAAGGCCAAAGCCGAAGGATTGTACATGTTCATTACAAAAATGGTTCAAAATTTATACAAGAGCAGGGTTATCATCATCTGCAGCAGCACCCCCCTCGACAGGCTTCGAAGTGGCACCCCCTTCGACCCCTTCTTCTTCATCGCTGGCCTCCTGCATCAGTATAGTATCTTCTAGATCAGGCCTCGTAGCACCCTCGGGGAGGGGAGTTCTGGGATCAGGCTGGAGGGGAGGAAGACCGTGAGCTGCCGGGTCAAAGGCCTTTGGGTCCACCCCCAGGTGTCGGGCTAGCCTTCGGTAGATGAGGGCCTGAGTGAAGTACTCACCCCCATCATAATACTCTTTGCCCTTACAGGCTAGCCACATGGCCTCGGGGCCCTTCACCCAGTTATCTACCGAGACCTCCACCACCGAGGCCACCCACTGCTGATGCTCCTCGGTCTTCCAGCCCTCGGTCACAAAAGCAGCCACAACGACCTTCTCAGCTTGGGTGACCGCCTCCTTCTTGGCTTCCTCGGCCCTCTCAGCAGCTGCTTCGACGGCCTCAGCTGCAACCTTCTCAGCCACAGCTCTACCCTCAGCTCTAGCCACGACCTTGCTGTTTTCAAGGATTTTCCCGAAAGCTTTCCTCTCTAGGCGAAAGGCCTCCTGCGCATCTTGGAGCTGCTTCCGTGCAAGGACCAGAGCTTCGTCAACCTTCTGCTTCTGGAGGGCAGATTCCTCCATCCTCCGGATCAGCTCACCTAGGCCAATGCTTGCCTACAAAAGACCAGGAAACACTAAGAGTTAAGTTACTACGCACAATATGCAAGATACGCTCAACTAAAGGAAAGAAGGGAGGAAATATCTTACAGTGACCGAAGCCTGCAGGACCTTGGAGCAGAGGGCGTCGTCAGCCTGCCGGGACATCACCGACTTGTCTGTCGGAGGGGTGGCACCCCTCAAGAACTCCCTCGGGCTGAGGGTGCCATGCATGATGGCAGTCCCCTTGGTGATGGAGAACTGCACGCTCTCATGGGTCCACGCCATTCCGGGGACTTGAACTGGGGGCTCGGAGGAGGAATGTTCCTCGACAATAACAACGGGTGCCTCTTTCTTCCCGAGGGCCCCCTTCTTCTGCTTCTTCCCCTCCGGGGGCACTGCGGCCTTCCCGGCCCGCTTCCTCTTTAGCTCCTCGACGGGGGAGTCCTCGGCTGTAGAGCCGGCATCATCACCGATGGCAGCCTTCACCATAGGCCCGCCATCATTCCCAACTGCGGCCTTCGAGAATATGTCATCTACCGCCCTCTGCTGCGCCGGGGCCTCCTTCTTCTTGTCCTCTTTGGCGAGTTGCCTCTTCAACCTGGCGAGGTTCTTAGAATCCATGTCTGGTCCTGAAAAGCAAAGGAAATACAGAAGGGGTTAAAATATTGCTACAGCAAGAAGCGGAAAAAAATTCTAAGTATGAAATGGGAGCCCTCGGTAAGACGACAACCTCCGGCACTTTGGTAGACCCTATCGATAGGGGGATCTCTCTCATCTTTTTCCCCCATCAGCCGGTACCGATGGAAGCCCAAGTTGTAAAGCTCGTCCGGGAGGGTGGCGACCTTGATCAATACGTGCTTCTCGGATCCCTCCGGCTTCTTGGAAAGTTTCCTCCCCTTCTTCTCCAAGGCGGCACTCCCTACCTTTACATGCCTCCGGAAGCTATCACGAAGTGGGGCCGAGAAGGGATTCTCCGCCATGCGGACATAGCAAAACTTGTCTTTCCACCTCTTGTGAGACGAGGGGAAATAGTCGAAGAGTCTGAACTCGGGGAGCTACTGTAGGTTGGCGAAGCCTCCAGCATTTGAGTGACCTCCCCGACAGAGGTTGAAGGAGAGGAAGAACTGATCTAAAGTGGGCTCCACATCCTTGCTCCGGCAAAGGGAAAGAAAACCAGCCAAGTAGGAATGGCTGTTTGGGGTCAGCTGGCAGGGGGCGAGTTTGATGAACTGAAGGTACTCGATCATGAAGGGGTGGAGGGGGAATCAGAGGCCCAACTCCACCGAGAGTATGTGTACGACAAAACAGCCAGCGGGAGCATGCAACAGGACGTCATCTGGACTCGGCTCCACCACCTTTGCCGAGGGCCCGACCAAGAGCTGTGTTGCCATGTACTCCCCCTGTGTGGTTCTGGTCTTCACATCTAAGGCAGCAGTGTTCAGGTAGGAATAGCCTTCGGGAATTCCTACTGGCTGCCCAGCGTCGACGACAACTTGTTTTTTCTTTGTGGCAGTCTTCGCCTTTTTCTTCTTCCCGGGGGCCATGCTTATAGGCGTCGGGTCGAGGGGACGGGAGCTTCCAGCTTCATTGTTGAGCCGAGAAGGGAGGGTGGCGATGGTAACTTTTCGCCTCTCTTTCTCTTCCTCTTCTTCCGCCGTTTGGAGTGCGAGGGCCAGCTCCTCATCGTTGTTGACTTGTTTGAAATCTTCGGCTTCGGCCTCGGCCACCAAGTCCTTCTGCACCTCCATTGCAATGGCGGAATCACCACTCACCGAGGGTTGCTCGCTAATAGACTCCACAACCGTGATGCTCTCTTCCTCAACAGAAGGCTCTCCCGAGATATTTTGCGAATCACTTCGCGAAGACATTTTTGACTATGACCGAAGGGTTTCAGGGAGAAGAGTTTCCTAAAAAAACATATGTCCTACAAACAAGAACTTACTAATGGAGCAGGGGGCAAGTGGGGAACTGACCTTGGAAGCTAAGGCTGAGCACACGACACTTTCTCTCTCTAGAAAAAATTCATCAGAGCTTCGCTACACCAAGAACGCGTAAGGTTAAACGGACCCTGGCAAGGGGTATTTATAGCCGCCCTCAATCCGGGCTTGGGCCAAAAACCGGGCCCCCGAAAGGAAAATCATCATTACACGCCGTCACCTCAGCCAACCGGTGACACCCGCCCGCGGACAGCCAACAGTTACATGCCACGTGGACATCACCTCCCACGCCTTCTCCAACGGTCATATTACAACGGCTATATTTTGAAAACACAGAGGTGCTCCCGGCCGGCACCCCTCAGACAACACTTTGCATGCCTTCGGGCAATCTCCTTCAGACTCCTTCATCAAGGGGAGCCCCCGGCCTAACAACGGGAAACCCCCTCAGGACCCCTTAGCCCTCAACATGGTGGGAACCAGAGAACCCCCCAGGCCACTCTGTGCAAACCCCCCGGGGCCCCACTCGGATATCGAGAGGATGCCTTCGACAAATCAACAAGCAAGCCCCCAAAATCAAGGGCAGCCTTCGGCATCGAATTTATATGCACCCCAAGGGTTAATTTTTTTCGATTCATCGTTGGGGGAATTCGGTGCACTCTTTTTCCCTCATTAGAATTTTTCCCACAGGGTTTTTTCTAATGAGGTTTTTAACGAGGCACCCCCCCAAAATGAAACGAAAATAGTCACCCCTCGGCCCCATCCTGAAGACAAGCACTACTCTACTCCTCTTCACCACATTACATGTGCATCAAGGAGTGGGGGACTCGAAGATCCCTCCGGGAAAAATCACAAAAATGCAAAATCACGTAATCCTTCAAAATGTGGGGGACTGAAGGACTGCCCTCGGCAAAATCGCGTGCAAACGCAAATCTCTCACAAACTTTACAAACTACAGCAAGGCAACAACCGAGGACAAACGCAATTACTCCTTTTCCCTCAAATACCTTTCGGCAAAAGGAGTGAGGGACTCCTGATGGAGTATATGGCGCAGGGACCCCCCGACCCACATACTTCACTATTACATTTAGGCCCAACAGGCCCAAGATGGGCCAAGCCCAGCAAAATGGAGCTCTAAGCAGCCCACAACACATGAAGGGGTGCCTTCGGCCACATGGCCGAAGGCTACCAGTGACAAAATTGGGCTCAGCAACATCACAGGAGAACAAGTCTGGAAAACCAAGCCTTCGGCAATTGGGGCCCTCGGCACTATGAGGCCCTCGGTACGCAGAGCCTTCGGACTGTCATCTACAGCCGAAGGCTTCCTCCTCGACAGAATATCCCATCCACATGCGCTGGATCACCGTACCAAGTACAAACGTCGCATCCAACCACCGCATTTAATGTGGCCACATGCGAGTGCCAGTGCCACCCCGGTTGAGGTGACCCCTCGACCGCCATAATGATGACACGTGTCCCTATCCAGCATTTATTGCTACTATAAATAGCACCCTCTTTCCCCATTGTAAACCACGCTCAATACAACTCGAATACGCATTTGAACTCTTTATCTCTCTTACCTATTTGATCTGACTTCTCTCTAAGTTACTCCCTGCAGTAACCCCTCAGATAAGCTACCCCCGGGTACACTATCCATCAAGAAGTTTTCAAAACAGAGAACTAAGAAGCATTTGAGTTGGTTAACCTTGTTTGGTGCCGTGTCCCAATAATCCTGGTAAACCCTCATTACGTCTTTTGGATTTTTTAGAGACAACCATGGTAAAGACTTCTTCCTCCGGTGGATCCTAATCACAGTTTTTGAGTTTGTTTTACTAGAAAGTTTTTCTTTTTCTATGTCCTTCAGCTTCATTTTCTGGTTGAGTTCCATTTGGAATTGTTGAAATTTCGATTTGAGATCTGTAAGGAAAATTAGAACCTGAAACTTCATCAAGGGCAATTTTGCATGAGTAGTAATTAGATTAAAAGTCATACTTAAATATTCCCTCTGATCCTTATTAAACTGTACACTTTGACTTCACACATATTAAGGAAATAAATTTAATTTTACTGTAGAGCGGCATTGTTTGACACTGTTTTGCACTGTTTGATGTACATTTGTTTGCCAAATAAGACAAATAAGGAAGTGTAAAGTTTAATATGGGATGACCCAAAAAGGAAAGTGTAAAGTTAATTACGGAGTGAAAAGAGTAATAAAGTTAATGTACTATTTAAAGAATTTTGTGTCTCATATATTCGATTATCTCCTGCAATTTCGCTCAACTGAAGAGCAGCAGACGTATGTGAGCTTCAACCATTCCACAGGGTGCTGCTGCATACAAAAGGAAATACTCGATCCCGCATGTGTACTGTCTTAGAATTTACGAAAGCATTTGGAAGGCAAACACATTCACATTACACCTCGCTCGACCACCACCACCGCTGCCACCGCCGGCGAGTTCGGCTACTAGCTTTGCAAGTTAATGCCTGCACAGAAGCGCGAGTCCTCTCCATCTCCTTCAGCTGAGGATGAGGAGGAGAAGGCCGACGATTTGCAGCTGGACAATCAAAATCAGAACGAAGAAGAAACCGATGAAGAAGAAGGTACGTGCATACGTATCTTAGGTTCATCTTTACGCGTAGAATCTTCTCTCCACTCTTGATACCTAGCGTGCCAGTACAGTATTTCGATGGGTTCTTTAGTTTTCACTCGACGATTGTGTCTTTGACTTGTAGATTCGGATGAAAGCTCTTCGAGCGATGCCGTAAAAGACGAGTACTTTCACTTTCTCTTCTCTTTAAAATAGAAATCATATGCGAACTGGTGCATTCGCTTATGTGTTTATATGGAACTTGATGTGTATGTATGCAAACTAAATGTACCGTATAGAAGTACGTTTTATGCCGTGGTTTTGTTATTCTAATGGATGTATACCAAATGTTAATGTCCATGCTAATTTCGGCGTCTATAGTTTGCATATATAATGAAAGTTTCTTTTGAGATTTCACACTCGCTGTTTAGATACATTTTGTTATTGCTCCATTTAGCATTGACTGAGATGTTTCCCTATGCGCATAATGAATCTAACCCTCATTTTTTTCTTGGAAATATCCTGAGAACGACAGTTTACATAGATTGTCATCCCTGTTTCAATTCATCTCTCTCTCTCTCTCTTGTTTACTTTTGTTGAGATAAAAATATCTTTCTGCATTAGTCTGAAAAACAGATTAAGGGGAAGTAATCCATTTGGCTATTATGGTTCAATTTTATCTAAGATGAGTATTTTTTGTTTGACGTTGCTTCATTAAGTCTACATAGTTGCTAACAAATTCATGTTTAAACTTTAAACATTCTCTTGGGTGTCACATTTATTGGAAACCTGAAAGGCAGAAATAGAACTTTCATTGAAACTTTCGATGGATATTGTTTATCTTCCATTTCTACCTTGCTTGTTTCAGATAAGCCAAACTCTTATTCATATTATCTTAGAGGTAGCATGGTGGGAACCATTTCACACTACCAGTAATGAAATTGAACAGAATTTTAGTGATTCTGCTTGTACCGCGCCATGCACACTTCTTATTGCCTTATGATGAACAAAGAAGTCCAAATATGAAATCAAGTGTTAAAAGATGAGATGTTTTAATGTGAGCTAAAGAAGAAATTGTAAAAGATTATAGCCTCAGAGGGTTGAAAAGAAACAATGATTTGAGTGCATCCATATCACCTTCAGACACTATCTTAGGGATCAGTAAAGCAAAACTGCTCATTGATTTGATATAAACCTAATTTGACCATCATAGATGCCCTCAGGTTGTAGTTAGCAACTTAGCATCTCTGCATGCCACTGTCACAAGCCAATTCTCTCACTATAAGAGAAGGGAATGTGCATAATCAAAGGTAGTGCATATCATAAGCACCACCAAACTTGGCCAAATAAACTGTAGAGGTGTAGAGGTATTGGCTTTGGAATGAAATAGTCTTGGTTTAGTAGATTAGGTATGAAATATGTGACGAATGTGTAAGAGTTACTCAGTAACCAAACTAAATGCAAGGGGAAATTATATATACTTTTGTATTTGACTATTAGTGTGACCTATGACTTAATGACTGTTAGAATTTGAGTTAGGTAATCCGGCAGTAGTTGAGTTCATATAGAATTTGGGCTATAATGCATGCGATTCACAGTGTCAAACTAAAGCTTAGTAGTTTGAATCCAATAATGTACCCATTTATTGTGTATCACTTTGTCGATACGAGACATTCTTCAACAGATTTTAAACAGGTGAAGGAATACTAGAATGATAGTATGAGTAGGAAAAAAGAAAAAGAGGGGATAAGAGAAACATTATTTTTATTGCTCTCCTAGAAGAATTTGAGTATTCAAATCAAATGTTCATATCTATCTTTCTGAATGGGGCCCTGTCTATAGACAAATGGTGTCTAACACATTGACATTTTAGTTGTCCAATAGGAACTTGTCTTGGACAGATATTTAGTGTTTTGAGGCTCTAATAGAAAGGTTAAGAAGTAACATAGAAAACGCATTGAACGAGAGTACGAGACAGTATAAAGGCAGATCTAGGATGTAGGGACATACATCCCAAATAGGATTTTCAGGATACAGGTGAGTGGCTTACTTAGTCTAATGATGTGTTTCCTTTCATCCAGTTCCATTCATGATTCCTGGTGAATGCTAAGCATTATTGTCATAAAATGAATTTGAGAACAAAGTTACTATAAGGAATGATCATATTTACTTATGCAATTAAATGTCTCTTTTGCAGATTTATCAGTCTTAGACTATCAGAAATACGCAAAGAAGTACAATGTCCGATATGCTTAGGTATTTGCTGTATTCTTGTTCTCCTTTTTTTAATTTTAGCTTTTTATGAATGTGACAAAATTGCTGTTTTCTTGGCAACGGGCTCAACAGTTGGAAACATCGTCTAGATGGGCAATGGAAGTAATGGAGCGAATCCTAAAGCAATCTAACATATTCCCTCTTCTAAATCTACATCGAGTCAGTATTAGGAATCTAGAATTGATTATTCAACAATACTCGTCAAGGGGGCTCCTTAGTATAATTTTGTGATTATAGCCTCCTCAGCTTTTCCATCATAGATTTTTTTTCTTCCTGTATTACTAGTGCAATGTTAGAATAATTACATATAAGCTCCTATTGAAGCATTGTGAATTCTCTTGATACGTGACAATGAAAGGAAAACGTAACAACTATATAGTACATCAGACTCAGTAACATAAATAGTTGAGTATATAGGGAAATGAGTTTTTATTATTTGGGTAACAAAATTAATACTGATTCTGGTAATACTTATTCCAGTGTTTGGCTGGTAGAAGCAAAATATTAGTAATACTTATTCCAGTGGTCAATTAATACTTATTCTAGAGTTTGGTTGGTAGAAACAAAATGTTGGGAATACTCCAATGTATTGTTTGCTTTGGAGTGATAAGAGAATAAATTGTATAAAGAATAAACTAACTCCACTGATGATAATAATATTAATAATAACAATATCAATGATGATTCTCACATGGGCATGGGGTCCTAGCGTAACCTTTTCTATTCTCTATCCATTGGGAAAAGACAATACCGGAGGGGGGCGGGTAACTTTTGTTCCTCAAGGTTTCAGGAATAAGATCTCCAAGGAAGATAACATGTCATCACAGAAAGATCAGAGTAACTTGTTTTCGGAATAAACAAGGAATAGAAAATTTCTCCCTTCAACCAAACTCAAATGGTTATGGAGCTGACCGTAAGCAGCAGTGTTTCATGGAAAGTTGGAAACTATGCAATTCAGAACATGCACAAAATATGCACACTTATTTTCTTAAATTGCCAATCAATTAGCAGGCGTAATTTCTTTAATTCTGAATCCCAATCTCAATGCTGCAAATATTCGGAATCTCAAAGTAGTTCATGTTTTTGTTAAAGGCAATCTCTAGATACCCCCTCATCCTCCCTCCCTCTTTAGTGTTTCTTGGGAGAACACTGCGAATAATTCTTCAGAATGTATCTCTATTGTTAATGTGACTAATGACTCCACATTTCTTTCCTGGTGATACTACAATGAATAAACCTCCTCATATTGAATAATCATTTACACACATTAGTACATTATAAATTATGACTTGAAAATTTTGAGTGTCATACCAGGGTATTGCTTGATGCTTCTACTGTCTTAAGTTATTTGCTTTAGCATCTCTTAGGTGAACTTATATTATATATGTAAATTGAATTAGGAATATCAGGAATCATTCAATGGAATTTTATTATGTTCTTTGGAGTTCATATTTTAGCGTTATATGTAAGTTAAAATCAATTTATATCTGCTGATGCTTCTTACCACTGTGGGTGGGCAGGCATTATTCGAAAGACAAGAACGGTTATGGAATGTTTACACCGATTTTGCAGAGAATGTATTGACAAGTCTATGCGAATGGGGTATTACTTTAGTTTTATCCTTCACAGATAGATAGTGCCATATATCATGTGAATTAATTGAAAATTGTGTACTAGGAACAACGAATGTCCTGCTTGTCGCACGCATTGTGCTAGTCGCCGTTCTTTGAGGGATGACCCAAACTATGATGCTTTAATAGCTATACTGTATCCAGATATTGACAAATACGAGGAAGAGGTAGTATTATACACAGCACATTGAATTTCCTCTTGAACTATTATGTAAGCAAAGTTGTCTTTACCTGTTCAGGAATTGGCTTTTCATGAAGAGGAGATGGCTCGAAATAAGCAGGTGAGTTATATTTGTCACCTAACTGTTTAAAGCTCCAATGATGTAATGAGCTTGAAATTACATTCTAATTCCATAAGAACTACATAGTGGTACAGAAGGCAAGCATCAAAAGATGTTACCCCCGTCCTACAAAACATATCCAAGTTTGACCACAAAGAGATAAAGAAAATGAAAACCATGTGGTTGAGAGTTATTTAGAGGAGAGAAACAATATGATCCACACAATTTTCTTTCTTAAAATGAAATGTGAGGTTAATTTTTGGAACAGAGGGAGAATGTTTTTTACTTGCATTAGAAGTTTGGCTTTTAGAATGTGAACCCAAAGCATTCATCAGGGCCAAAATTCCGATGATGTTGGGATCAGGATTTGTTACTCTGTATAAAGCAACACTCTAAAACCTCACAAAACTGAGTGGTAAAGTTTTATGTGGTATGCCCTTCCTATCTCATCTTTCTTAGAAATGCGCAATGAGATGAAATTCCAAAACCTTCATCATCATAGGGATTTAAGAATTGCATGGAAGATATCATGAGGCTGCGATGAGGTGAGATAGTTACTATATGCATCTCTGGTGGTAGAGGCTTGGGTAGCTGCATGATAATCATATTCTTTGAGATTTGTCAATTATATTACTCCGTATTTGGAACGGAAAAATTAACTAAAAATCTAATTATCAACAGATTCAAGCATCAATTGCCCAGACGCTTCGGCGTCAAACTGAAGCATTGGGAAGAAAGAGAACACCAAGATCAAATCAATCAGCATATATTAGGAGATCTGGAAATAGAAATTTAAGGAGAAGGAGAAACCATCGAGTTGAACCTCAAGGGTCTGATAATGATGAGGATGGCAATGGTCATGATGACAAAGATTCGTCTTCTGCTGATGAACAGCATGGTACAGAAGCCAAACCAAAAAGGGCTAAAAGATTGGGAGGGAGATTCTCTATAGGATCAACAGCAGGCAATGCCAATTCAGGCTTTGATGAAAATGATTCAGAAATGAACAGAGAGTCGTTTGGTGCAATGGGGCTTATTGGCAGCTCAGAAATTCTTGCATGGGGGAAGGGTGGCATGCGAAGTCAAAAAACTCAAAATAGGCATAGCAGTCTGGGTGGCGGCAGCGGTAATGCCCGGCTTCGCAGGAACAGCAGAGTCTCAAAGCTGATTGAATCTCTCCAACATTCAAATCAAAATGACGTAAAGGTAAAATTGCTTCAGTAAAGGAGTTCTTGTGATTGTTTGTTTGCTTTATCAGTACACATGCACATTCTACTTTCTACTTTCTACTTTCTTTTATTTTTTATTTGATTCTTTGTTTTGGCAGGTTGATATCGGCCTCATGCTTGTTTCCTTCTGTGAGGAAGATATTCCAAGTTTGCAACGACCATATCTTTGCTGCAGACCAACTCTGACTGTTAAACATTTGATCCAAGTATAACATTGGCACCCATCTTTTCTCATAGAAAAAACTAAGGATTCATTCTTGCGGTTTAATTTGTTTTTTCCTTGCAATACAAGATCCTGAATGCATTCCTGTACAGTATGTCTCTCTGCAGACTTCAATCCAAGCTGATGGAATCGACATGTTGGTGATGAAAGAGCTTAGTTCCACCGTGAAACCTTCAAGCTCTGAGGCTGTGTTCAACACAAAATCAGTTGCAGGCGTTCCTTGCAATGGTGAGTTCGACTTGTTACGAGAAAACCAGACGTTGGAAGAAATCCGATCCAGCTGTGGTTTTAGTCAATGTAATCTGGTGAGTACGTGGTTTTCAAACATAGTGTTCATGAAAATGTGAATTGACATTATTTTAGATCAGGAAGAATGTAAAAATATGTTCTTGAGGTTATCCCTTAGGTGCATAACATATTGACCCTTAAAGATTTTGTTGGTTCCAATATGCCCTTTACATTTGCTTTTAGGTGCAGATTGGCCTTTAAAGTTTCATCTTTTATACACTTGGATATTGACCTTGAGAACTAATACAAAAATTTTATAAGAGAAAAAGTACTCCTTATAGTTTAGTGCAGAGTATTATTTGTAAAAAGAGCTAATGATTGAAAGAATATTGTATTTACAATATTTGTAATACATTAACTTATGTTTAATGTTTTTGTCCATTATTTTTATAAATGGAATATTGATTCCATGTGAAAGGTCACAAAACACAATTTGTTTGATATATTACGTTCAAATAAATGAAAAAGTTGAAGTGTGCACCCTATCTTATTAAAAAAAAAGCAATCGCCCAAAATATGGGGTCCAACGTCAAATTCCTCCAAAAATCATTACGCTTTAAAATAATATTTAGGGGTTGTAAGCCACGTGGTATCTCCAAAAATTCTCTCTCACTTTTTCTTTTATCTTTTCCATCATTTGTAATGGAGCCAAAGACTCACTATTTTTTGGCTTGGAATATGATGGAATAAAGCACAATGGCTCACTATACTGTCTGCACTTCTTTGTTATGAAGCAGCGGTCAGTCCATGCAATTTTTTATGCGATTTTCACTATGAGTCATCCAGAAATAGTCTCTCTGTGCTTTAGTACAGAGGTAAGATTGCGTACATCTGACCCCCCTTACTCCACCGTAGGTAGGAGCTTTTGCGGCACGAGGTGATGATGATGATGACTTTATCTTTTATCTTTTATTTTCTTTATCTTTATATGTTCTTGTGTTATTTTTATCTTTTATCTTTCTTATGCTCTTTTATCTGTTTATCTTTCTTATGTTCTTATGTTATTTTTATCTTACACCGTTATACGTAGTATTTATCTTTATCTTATACATTTTTATCTTACTTTATCTTTTTATTCTTCTCATCTTTCTTCTCCTTTTGGCTCTGATATCATGAATCGATTCATGTTAACCAACCCCAAAATCTTTTTGGGAAGAAGGCTTGGATGTAGTTGTATTATGTTTCACATAAAGAACACTCTCACTTACAATAAAGGGCTATGAAAAGAGGCTTAGATGCTTACCAAAGTTGCTTAAGTGCTCATCTGTGCCCAAAAGAATTTGATGGGCCAATTTGCACCTACGTTCAAACATTGTAGACACATTTACACTGATTTTTTTAGTGGCCTATATGCACTTAAGGTACATGCCAGATCTCCATTCTATATCATGCTGTAGTTCCACTTAATGCAAATTGATTGAGGTTTAACAGATACGTAACCTAAAACCTTCCGTTTTTTCTTCCTTTATTGTCTTATACTTCAGCTTTTGGCATATCGGCTCAAGTCAAAAGGTTAGGGATGGTGGCTGTGGTAATGGTGGTGAAAAACATTCAGTTGCTGTGCACAGATACTTGGGAATTTCGAGTTTAGTCAAATCAGCCAGTCTAGTGTTTTTATTTAGCTTAGTGGAAAGGTAATCAGTTAAGCCTATAATCCGTACTTGTACCAAAGCACCTTTCATTCAAGGTGTTGTGATCTATATATGGAAGGTCCTAATTAAGATAATACCAACACAAATGAGTAGCTGCTCTTGACAATCTCTTGTACGTTTATATATATATAATATATATACACCTTTCTTTAGAAAGTAGTGATGCCTAAGTGAAATTTTATAACTGATGACCATACGTTCCATGTTTTTTCAGTTATGACTACTTGTTACTCTGAGAAGTTGGAACTGGCTCATCATGACACATACACACACAACATTGGTAAGAACATACTTCCTCCGTCCCATAAAATAGTTCCCACTTTGATTTGGGCCGGAGTTTAAGAAAGTGGGAATAAAGTGGAAATATATGGTTGTGTTTGAGTAAGAAAAAAGTAAATGAATGGTAGCCACACAAAACCTTCCAAAAAGGGAAATGAGAACTATTTTTTGGACCAACTCAAAAAGGAAAGTGAGAACTATTTCATGGGATAGAGGGAGTAGTTTTAAGGCAGTGGCAGAACATAGTAGCTATCCATAAAAATGCAGTGAACGGGTTTTGTGAACATATGTGTAATCCCTTGACCATATAATATGTTTGAGTCCTTGGAATACAATGTGGTGATGCGTTGGTCATTGTTCTCATGGAAATGCTACCGTTGTCTAGACTCACTTACAAGTAACATCACTAAACGCGCACCATATTCACCATTCTCCTAGATGAAACTTGTTGGGTTTCATATAATCGACAAATTGTATGAGCGAGCATATGGGTGTCTAGTTCACTTGGCATAAGCTTTGTGAGAGGCATACCCAACAAATTAATGTTGGAGGACCAAAGCTTGTAAAAATTACTTGGGTAAGCCATGGCCCTTCTCATCCCGAGCTTAAGATTGAGAATAGCACAATAACTTTGTTTAGCTTGATCCCTTGAAGTAGGTTAGATAACATATGTAAAGTGTTCATAATCCAAGGTGTAAACTTGGTGAGTACTGACTACCTTATGGAAGCGTAAATGACAAATTATTGATTTTAAATGAACAAAATACAAGAGTAACTTTTACATATCACTTTTGAGAATTATATATACCGGAGTATTGTGCTATGGCGATTCAAGCCCCACATGCATGATGCATGCAGGTAAAGTGTACATGCAAATATTTCTTCAAGAGGAAATATGTACCAAAAGGGTTGTACATGAATCAATTCTAAACTAATCCTAGATCGATAGGCCACGGTCTCCAAAATTCAAGAATCAAATCCAAATTGACTGGTGATTGTTTCACGCCCGGTCCACCTTTTTGGTTGTTGGCTGTTCCGGTCCATGTTTAGACCAATCTGAACCTCATAGTCTCTCCAATGGTTCTGGTTCCAATCTGAAATTCTGGTTCAGTTTTTTATGCAAATCTTGAACGATCAAGGTTCGGAACTGGGAGCATGCTCAACATAAGTCGGACACTAAAAGCACGTGTAACAGTTAGAAATGTTACAAAATAGTCATGAAACACTTGTAATAAAGTGACACTTCATGGAGATATCATCCGACTCATAATTATAATTTACTTTTAGGGTATTTTTTGGAGTTGAGTTTTGGAGGGAAGGGTTATAAGGGTTGATGACTCTTCCTTTTGTGTTAAGAGTTGGGAGGAAAGGCTTTGGGGTACTTTGGTCTAAGTTCCTCAGCTTTGGGAGTGTTTGGAGGATAATTACTTGATCAATTATTTTAACCCCACGTACAATGAATATATCTCCAGTAGGCAATAGCTATTCATACTTCATAGTATAGTATAGATTTGTTAACATACTCTATTTCAATTGTTTTGATGTTTAAATATTTCGTAAATCTTTATTTGATCGTGAGTAAATTGATGTGTGGATTTAAATAGAGTTAATTAGTATCCTCCGTTCTGTTTTAATCGCAACATGTTGAATTTTACACTATTCACATGCTCTACTTTGACTACATTTTACGTTATTATTTTTTGAAAATTATTTTTTAAAAAATTTGTGTTCAATTCATTTCATTACAAATTTTCAAAATCTAATTTTTTATATTTTTTACTAATAGAATTAAGATATAATTACGGTCAAAGACGTGCGTTGTCAAATGTGAAAGGTTGACCGTTGCAACTAAAAAAGAACGGGGGAAGTATTTAAATAGGACTAAAAAAAGATCAAAATTTACAGCTAGTAGTTTTAAAATTACCAAAATAGGAAATTTTTTGTGGTTGGAAATAAAATGCTCCTGCCACTATCCAACTTCGGCCGTCGCCAAATTTTTGACTGCCAGCCTCCATAGCTTTGATTGGGCCAATTTTTTCTTGTTCTCCGGCCTCTTGCCGCAATGCCGCCGCCGCAAAAATCGGACTGCCCCGCTACTAATGGACTACCGTGTTATACGTAGTATAAGGGAACTAGGGAGCAATAAATTTATTAGATTAGAAGTATTAAGAGTAGAAAATTAAGTTTTAGTCCTATTTATGAATGATTTGGGTTTTGATCATATTTGTGCAATTAGTTTTTCATTTAGTCTTATTTAGGATAATTACTAATTTAAATATTTTCATCATTTGAATATACTTTATGTTGTAAGTAAAAAAGGATACATGAGTAATTTTAGTTATAATACCCCCTAACCTCCTTTTTTACAAATTTGTAATCCCCAATCAAGGAGAAGGTATTCCTTCCCATCTTCCTCTCATTCCCTTCCCTTTACCCCCTCCCCCCTTCCATCGAAGCTTTTCCCTTCCCTCCCTCCCAAACTCCCAAACATACCATTAGTACTCAACCCAAAATAGTTTTGTTTTTAGCTTATTTATAAGATAAAACCGTCTTATTCTTAGAGTTTGGCCTTGTGTAAGAACTATATTGTTCACTCTCAAGAACTATGTTTGAGTTGTTCATGTATTATTGCCAGAGAAGTGGTTGAATCTCGAGATAAAGTTCTCCCTTTACATAGAATTTGTTAATGGAATTGAAGACAATGATCATGCAGCTCAAGAAGTTCTCCCTTTACATAGAATTTGTTAATGGAATTGAAGACAATGATCATGCAGCTCAAGACTCAATTCCTAGCCAGAACGTTGACTCTATTATTATAAATTTTTACACTAGCGGTAAGTACTTGTACATATTTCTTTATACTACATGTTTACCGTGCATGTTTTGATGTTAATGATTAGGGAAAATTTCTCAAATAGAAGCATAAACGTTTTGTAATTGTAAGTAAGAGTATTATGTGTAGTAATTGTTCTATATCAGGCTAAAACTAAACATAAATGCACAAATAAGACTACATGCTTTTAATTCCCTAATAGGACTTCAGATTATCATTATGCTCTCTTATATAATATCAAAGAGAAATTTGCTCCTAGTAGGACCAAATCATAGCTCTTTTACAAAAATAATACCTGCTAATGTTTTTTCCATTCATATTACTTTATTTAGTTCTAGATTAGGAAACCTATTTCTAACTTTCCAAATTTGCCCTTCAGGCCAAAAAACTTCCGCCAACCAAGCTTCTTCCGCAGGAAGCCCATCCTCCATGTTGCCGTTGCCAGACGCCGCCGCCGTTGCCGGACGCTGCTGCCGGTGCCGGATTTGGGGAACGATTGGGTCCGATTTGGGGAATGATTGGGTCCGATTTGGGGAAGGGGAGCAGGGGATTAAGGCTGGGGACAGGGGAGTAGGGCTGGGGGCTGGATGTTGGGGGTGAGGGCGGGGTGGCTAGATGTTGGGGGTGAGGGCGGGTGGCCGGTGGTGCTGACTGGCGGTGACCACCGAGGATGGCTCTGTCACTGTGACGCTGGCAGCATGGATGGGAGGGTAAGAGACAATTTATTGTCTACTTGTTGTCTATTTATTGTTTGGTATTTCCTAAAAGTAAGGGTATTGTGGTCAATGCAGGTGTAGTTGAATCTTACGTGAATCTGCGATCTTAGTTTTGGAAAATCCGTACGTTTTGCTCCTATTTGTTGAAATTTCCCAATATCAAAACCCTAATTTTCTAAAAGATGTTCATCTCCCCTCCCAAAATGTGCGGCTCACTCTTTCTGGTGTTCATCTTTGCTGCAGTCGGTGTTCATCTTTACCACACCTCTGCTCTTTGGCATGTCCTTGATTCTCCATCGCCACCACCATCTCTTTATGCCGCCCCTTCTTCCAGCATCACCGTTTTGTAATAAGGTTACCATCACCACTCTCCTCTTCCTCCTCCCATCCTCTCCTCCTAAAATGTAATTTTTTAGGCGGAAGTAACATCGTGACTTTTTTTATACTCTCTCCGTCCCATTAGAAGATTCCGGTCCACTATTCTCATGATCAACTCAAATCATTTTTAATCTTTTACTTTATAAATCAAATTTTTACCAAATTTATATTTTTTATCAGACTTTGTTGCGGTTTTAATGTAGTTTCTGAATATGTTATTTTTATTTATTAAAAATAATCGGAGTGTTAACAGGAATTAAGTTGCTTTATCGTCAGTCAAACATGGTACGCCATTCACGGAAATATTCTAGCGGGACAGAGGAAGTATAAGTCTTTGAAAATTCACCAAATAAAGACTTTAACACTCCGTTATTAAATTTTTGATATAAATACTCCATTTAATAAAAGTCCCTACTCCGTAATAATTAATTATAATTAATAATAATAATAATAATAATAATAACCATCCTTTTTTTTCTACATCACTTGGTTTTTGCAGAGATGCATATTTTCATCACTTGTATTTTTTGTATTTTGCAGAGATGCATATGTTTCATGAATTTGGATCCTCTCCGGTGATCAGAGAGTTCCATTAGGAAAGATATAGAGAGGAAAAATTAAGGTGGGGTAGGTTGGTGAGTAAGATAGAGAATGAAGAGTAGTTGAACCCATGTTTGATAAAGATCTTAAAATGAACAAGTTTGTAACTTCTCAAAAAAGTTTGTAGCCGCTTCATAAAATTGGTATAACATTTACGAACTGAACATGTTTAAAAATTGTGATGTCAAACTGGTAAGGAATCGGCACCTATAACATACCTTGCTGATGTTACGTTTATTTATCGTCTCGGATTATTTTGTAACTTAGATTATGAAATTGTTTAATTTCATGTTCAATTTTTCTCTCTTTATTCAAATTCTACAATAGACTCTTAAATTCACAAATTCACTTCACCAAAAGAAGTGTAGATAAGAAAGGAAAGATGATTGATTGAAGCTTAAAACAGGACATTAATGAAACAGAGCACTGGCGGCGATCCCATGCGTGTCTTCAACGGTGCTTGGATCTTGTTTCTCCACTATACATCCTGCAAATTTTCCCAAAGCCGCAAGTTTTATTACATCCAAATCCAAAACAATATGATCGTACCTTGCTAAATAATTAAATATACTCTTGTAATACTCTTTCTGTCCCAATTTACTTAGTCATTTTTTGACTTTTCTAATTAAAGATGGTATACTTTGACCAATTATTTAAATTAATATATTTATGCAAAATTTAATAATTTTATACTTTTATGATAATATTTTTTACAAAGAATATTTTGATATCATTTTCATATTATTAATACTCTCTATATAAACATGTAATCGGTCAAAGTTAGACTTCATTGATTTGAAAAGTCAATATTGCCTAAGTAAAATGAGACAGATGGAGTAATTATTGAAGTAAACATCCTCTCAACGTACCGTCCGGTCAGGATTGGGGGCCTCAAAGATTGGGGTGTCATCATTTTTTTTGAAGTAAACCAATCAAACCCGATAAAGTTGTATCTTACTTTATATAGGTAAAAAAGAATTCCAAAAGATTTGATTATTTATAATCAAATTAGGTAAAAAAGATTTGCAAAAGAACACAGGACAGAGGTACTTTTAATCCGCACAAATCTCAATCATACAATTTTTTAAATCAATTATTTTGTGATCCATATTTAAAGGACGGAAGTAGTAATACAATAATAAATAAAATGTAATTAAAGTAGAATGTATTTATCCACAAATCTTCCAATAGCAGTACAAATCTTTTAGTTTAACCGTAAGAGCACCGTCATAGGGGAAGATATACTTTATGGTTACATGGGTCGCAGTCCAAAGTAACTGACTCCCTCTCTCCCCCAAAAAATGACAAATTTCTTTTTTTGGATGTCCTAAAAAGATTTGTCATTTTAATTTAAAGTAAAAATAATGTGACTAAAATTAATTCTCTCCTCTACACAAATTTCAACCGCACAGTGAGTATTTTATAGTTACGAAAAATAATTAAAATAACCCAAATTTTAAAGGGTGTGAGATAAACATCCCAAACTTTCATATGTAATTTAAATATCCTAAATTTTATATAAAAGTTATTTTAACACCATGATCATGTATGATTTATTTCAAAAATGTAAATTTGTGGTGTTAATCGTATAATTTAAAATAGCAAATTGAAAATGTTGCAATAATATAAAGTGGGTGGTAATACTATTTATTTTACAATGGAAGTTTAGAATGTTAATTGTATTTTCATGATTTAACACAAAAAAATTACATTTTTGAAAGAAATAGTACATGACCACCATGATGCTAAAATAACTTTTTATATAAGGTTTGAGGTATTTAAATAACATAGGCATGTGTTTGCTTTTTATATAAACTTTTTATATTCAAAATTTGGGATATTTTAATTAGTTTTTTCCTTTTTAGTTTAGTGGAATTTTTTTATTTTTTCGCACATAGTATTTAGCTCATTTTGTTGATATTTAAGATTAGTATAATTGGTCTTGAGACTAATCTATCCTAAATACCTGGATTGGCCATGATACTATCTACAATTGAGTGTATAAAGAAAAAAATTAGTGTACCAGTCGTAAACTGTGGGAGAGTTGGGGTGAAGAGGCCTGTCGAAGACTTCGGCACCGATATTCCGGGTGGCGAGGTTGCTTCCTGGGTCGAACACGCTCCTCCACACGTTGTCCTTACGCGCCGTCGGGGAAGGAGTCGTGGGACTTGCCGGCGACCTTTGGTACCACTTGCTGCTGCCTCCAGAACCAACTGCTGCTGCTTCATCCACTACACTTGTCTGGATAGAGAGGCGGCGGGTCTTCAGAAGCTTCTCAAGGCCGCCGCCGCCGCCGGTGCTCTCATCGCCAGGGTGAGGTCCGGCCATAACCTCGTCCCAAAGCTTCTCAATCATTTCCTGCTTGGACTAAGTAATTAATTAACTTCAATGTAGTATTATAAATCACTCCTACTTAATTAATTGCTAGCTCAGTGCAGTGATGAGAGATGATACTAAACAAAGGACTGACGGACATATAAATAGCCCGCATCGAAGATGACGGGTTCATTTTCTTGTCATTTTTCTAAAACAAATTTTTAAATTTCATTAAAAAAGGCTTTCCCGGTCCGATTGTGAGATGAAATTTGATATGGATAAATTAGACTTGATAAAGAACATACCATAAAAATTTCATCAAAAAATTTCACCGGGAATCACCCCGAAAGGCGTTATTCGGACAGGGAATGTTCGGACCTGAACATTCCTCTCTCTCTCTATATATATATATATATATATATATGTGTGTGTGTGTGTGTGTGTGGAAGAATTCAAATGAAAAGTGGTCTTCCCGTGCAAAATGGAAAGCTTTCACTTTTTCATATTTCACTTGCACTTTTTCTTATTTGCGTTGCATTTTTTTGGCCATTTTGATTTTGACCAAATTCGGCCAAAATGACGGTGTCAGTTTTGTAAATAAACCAATTTTTATGAACTGCCGCGAAAAAGTGCAACGAAAGCAAGAAAAAGTGCAAGCGAAAAATGAAAAAATGCAAATTTTTCACTTTACATGTTAAGACCACTTTTTATTTGAACCATCCCCTATATATATGTATATATATATGTGTGTGTGTATGTATATATATACATATATATATACATATATATATATACATACATATATATATATATATATATATATGTATACACATATATATACATAGGGGATGATTCAAATACAAAGAGGTCTTTCCATATAAAGTGAGAATTAATCTCGTGCATTCATTTTCAGATCTAATGACTCAAAATGACGTGTGTTGCCAAATACGAAATGTTGACCGTTGCAACTAACAAAGAGCGGATGAAGTATTACACACATGCAGACACGTACATAAATATTCAGGTCAAGAATTTTCACACTGGAGCATTACCCGGCGGGCATCGTTCTAGGCAGTTCTTTTTTGTTAAAATTTTGTGTGCATATTTCACAACAAATCTTAAATCTACTTCATCAAATTTTATTTTAAAATTCAATAAATTTCTGATGATAACTACTCGATGCATGACACTACTACATAAGAAAAGAGTCATGGCAATAGATATGGATAAGGACATAAGGTAGCTATGGATAAGGTAGCCACATGTACGACCTTACGATTACAATAGATTGCTATAAAAATCTATTCTAATACAAAAACAAAAGAAGTTTGAGGAATAGTGTTCCCTCCAAAAAATGTCAACATCAAATTTTATTTTAATTTTTATTGGATACTTTATTTTGATTAAAATAGTAATTTTCTATTGATTGAAATGGGTGGTAGGAATAGTCAAATACTTAAACCTTATTGGTTGAAATGGGTGGTGGGAATAGTCAAATACTTAAACTTTATTGGTTGAAATGGGTGGTGGGCATAATGAAGTTAATTGATTGTTTCCAAATTCCTAAAAGATTGCAATGGACTTTGAGCTATAAAAGCAATGTGGATGTAAGAAGGTTTTCACATTCATTCATTCCCATATCAATAAATATATATTATTGCTTAAGTTGGTAGTATTATTTTGTAACAATTGATTTCACCAAAAATTGGTTAAAACAAACATATCGTAATTTTATAATTGTAGGTTGGACAAAAAGAAATAATTCAAAAGACATTGATGGAAGGGATATTTTTTAAATAAAGTGTTGTATTTATTAGAGTTGTGCTATTTAAATAAAAAAATGTCGTCTTAAAATTATCAAATTCATATAAGTCTATGTGTTTGGTGTGTGTTACATCTATGTTGTCTTTTGATATACCGGGTCGAGAAGGGCTGGAGTGGAGATTTGATGTTGGGGACAAATAATGGGTAGGCGATAACCATTTGGAATTCGTTTTTGGCGATTGGGGTTTCGGGTTGTTCAACTTCATGAATGAGTTCATCGGTCTGCCAACAGTTCAAAATATTTTAAGGTAGGTACGTGGTTTAGTTGTATTTAATGAGATTGAGTTACTATTAATGGCACGTGACATGTTTGTTCGCACCTGTGTGTACAAGTGTACAATTTTTAAAATTGGTGGAAGTGTTGTGTTTAAAGTATCTTTAAAAAATTTTAAAAATGTTTTATGTGTGTTTTGTTAAAAATGCGAACCAACATCATCCATATTGTTTGGAGAATGAAAAATGATAAACATAATTTTAGGATGCTTATTTGTTAAAAAATCATCCATCGAAAATTATCAACATAAACTGGAAATGAAAAAGATTTTTAACTATAAACATATGAAGTCCAGATCTGTAGAGTTTCGATGATGTGCTTCACATAAAGTCGGTTTTAGGATGTTTATTTGTCAAAAAATGTGTATTTGACAATCGATTTATAAAAAATGAGATTAATCTTTTATTAAAAAATTATCAAAACAAATCTAGAAATGAAAATCGATTAGAAACATGAACACGGATCTTCCAGATCTGTGGGCTTTGGACGATGTTGTTCATATAAAATCGGTTTGTCGTTGCTTATTCGTGATAAACGTCAAAGCAAGATGTGGTTTGTGAGGTGGTTGGATTTAGATCTTACCCCTGACATGTAAATCTAGGCGGAAGAATGAAACGTTTACGGATCCATGGCCATGGAACTTCCAGATCTGTAAAGTTTGTGTGTTGTAGTTATTAAAAAAAGTTTTAGTTTGGTTATTCTTGGAAAACATGAAATCGACGAAGGCTTGCATGTAGAAGAAGGAAAATGAACTTACCGTGCAGTCTGACTAAATGCGCAGATTGACGCCGTATTGTGTCGATGTTCGTTCGGTTGTGGCTTCACTGTGGGATAAGGGATGAGAACATAGCGATGATGTTCGGCGAAGAAAGGGGAGGGTTTGTGGGAGGGGTCATTTTCAGAGTCCTTATAAACGCACTTACATTGGGAGAGGTTTACATGGATTATTGGGCTACTTCTGCGGCCCGTTTAGTTGATGAACATGGAGAACACATAGGCTGCTCTGGATCGGCCCGTACAAATAGCTTAAGGTTTCTTCAGTTTAGATGAATGCCCAAATTTGGACATTTAAGTTAATACGTATGAAGGAGTACTCCCTCCGTATTTTAAAGCTTGCTACACTTTCCTATTTGGGATGTATTTTTTTTTTAAAAAATAGGAAAAATATGAATATAAAATCTATATTTTATTGGCTCTTTTCTAATTATTCGTATACTCTACGTTTTAAGAATTTTGCATTGTAATTCTATATGATGTAGGTTTTCATGTATTTTATTTATTTGAAAACGGATTTAGTATTTATCAATTTTAACATTGTTTTTAGCATTTTTATACTTTTATTTATATATTTTCAAAATGCATGTGCTTTTATAAAAAAATTCAATTATGTGAAGTTATTTAGAAAACGAACCACCATAGTGGCTCAAAATGCCTTGATTGAATGTGTTTTAAAAGTAAATGTACTTAATGACACCATTACTTTTATTTGTATATGGTCAACACACATGTGTGAAATAATATAAGGATCTCTTTAAACACTTCCCACAAATTTATATTCAAGTACAATTTAAAAATAAAATAACACACTTTTACATTATTGCACACCCCCTATTTTGCATGTTTACCCGGGCAATCATTTAGAAAATGAAAAAAATATTTGTTAAATCATCTGTGCATTGTGAGGGTGAATTTACTAGAAGAAACTATTTTAATTTTAACACGAGTTAGTACGGGACAGAAGGTGTTAATTTCGAAGCATTTCTTAACACCTTAAGACGTTAGCCACTCCAATTACGGATACTAGAATACCTAAACATGACTTATTGTGTCATGAATGTAAATAAAATAAAAAATAGTTGGTGTCCCGTGTTGCATGGTTTGTTGTTGAAAACACTTTTTAGTAGTTATTGTCAATTTTGCATGGTTGTATCAGGAGCAATCAATCTGTCGAGCGTTAAACAATCACATTGCATACAATGACCGTGGAACAAAAATTGAAACAGAAAATATTGTGGGTCTATAAGATGTGTGAACTACTCAGTAATCATTGATAGATCATACTGAATATGTTTCATTTTTACATCAAACTTTATTATTGTACAGATAACAATTGTAAATGATTCAAGTAAAATTAGAAGTTTTTTAACTTTAAATTTGATTAAAATTAATTGCATCGGGAAAATTTTCAAACCGTGCATCGCACGGGTGCTCTACTAGGATCGAATAGAGTCTGTTAAGGCCTGATTGAAGAATTATCATATTTGAGTATTGTTCAAATAATGCCATAACACATTTTCACATATTTGCACACCCTCTGATTTGCCGATTTACCCGAGCAATTCGTGTAAAAAATGCAATTCGTATAAATGCATAATCACCATATTACTTGAGATGTTTATACTTAGACTTATTTCAGTCTCAAACCAAACTTAAACAAACCAGATCATACTTGGATATTAGAAATAGTAGAAGCACCTATTTGAACATTTTCCCACAAATTTAGATTCAAGTATAATTCAAGAATGACATAACACACTTTCACATATTTTTCTCCCTTATTTTACTTATTTAGAAAGACAATTCATCTAAAAAAAGCAATTCGTGTAAATTTAAAAATTCTAATTGGTGATGAAGATGAAGGAATCATTGACAAAATGACAAGACTCAGAATGTTGTATTCAAAGAAGTGTTCAACAATGTTTAGGTTTGCATTAAATGCATATTTACAATGTGATGGTTTCAACGTATTTGTTGGATGTTTTTGATCTTTTAAGTAATGTTTAGTACTCTCATTTTGACCATAATATTATAAGTGTGTTTCGTTTAATGCTTTTATGTATATCAGTATTACATGAATATAGATGATGTCATCAATTGATAGTGTGATTTGAATCACTAAGCACACATAAATTTGAAAGAAAAATTCTCAGAGCGTGCATCGCACGGGTGAGTTTACTAGTTATTTTAAAACCAAAATGAAAGTGAGCATTATCCGCTACAATAGTTGCTTCAATTTTGTGTGTCCATTCTCTTCCGAATTAGCATTTCATTTTTACTCTTCTTAAACC